CGCCCCCTGGAAACGTCACTGACAGCGGCTAAGGACCATAAGTGCTTGCTGGTTGGGGCAGATACGTGACTAGCTCACTCTCTCACACACACGGAGTTCCAGGGCTAGAAGCGTCATCTAATGATGAAGACTCACTCTTCTCCCGCCCCCCCCCCTCCGGGTACCTGCAAGGAAGCCTGGCTGCTCAGGTAACCAGCTTCAATAAGCAATTATTATTTATTTTTTTTAAAGAAAAGAGCACGTCATGACATGAGAAGCAGTCAAAGGCGTCCGAACACCAGGAGCTTCTAACATTTTATTGCAGCTTAATCATGCTGCATACAAAGGAACGAGATACGGAACAGCAATTAAGGACTAATATTAAACATATGACAAATAGCCAATGTAATACAAACAGACAACCACAAAACAGTTTACAGCAGAATGTATTCTAAGGATTATATTAATTCCTCATTAAAGGTGTTTTTTTCTGGAAGTTCATTCCATCGCTGCTGCAGCATAAGCGCCGCATGATCTACACCAGCAGGCCGCGTGGCCTTGGTCACTATTCCAACGTGGTTAAGGTCAGGTGATTCTACAGGCCATGCTTTCACTTCCCTTCCTCTCCCTTCCTTTTTAAATATACCCCGACAGGGACTTCACAATGAGCACAGTGCTAAAAAGTTCAATTAGAAAATAAATGGTAAAATACAGGGTGTTCAAAAACTCCTGGCTTGTCTCCTCAGTGGCATTTCGGAACTGACCGGAAGACCAGAATGGCTTCCCTGCGGTGACAGGGGAAGAAAAACAAATAGACGAGTTCAGAGGGGAAGGCGGAGCCTGCTGCAAGCAGGCGGGAGGCGCAGAGTAAGTAAAGGCTTAGGTGGGCATTAAGGCTGACTCCCCCCCCCATAGTAATAATTCAGCAGATGCCCCCCCCCCACCCCATACTGCAATGATCCCTCACTGCTGCCAGACTGCGGAGGGCCCCGCAGAGGTACGCTGCTGGCTAAGCTTCCTCCCAGCATCTCTCAGCCCAGGGGGCCTTGCAGGGGGGGGGACAGCTCACCGGCGGGGGGCGAGGAAAACAATAATGGCCTGATGGTGCTTCGGATTTCAAAGAGAAACACCAATGCTGCAACCAAACTGGTGGTGGTTTAAGAAGAGCAACCAGAAGCAGATATGACAGCCCCCCCCCCCCATTCCCCCAAACCCCCGACTGAAAAGTCACTCATACAAGAAGTTACCCAGATCAAATGGGGTAATTAAAAAAATTTAAAACATCCTGAAGGAGAGTGAAGGGCAGCAGACCTACTGCTGAAACCCCCCCCCCCCAAGCAACCAGGGACGGAGGGACGAGAGGCAGGCAGACGAAGAACCTCCACGACCGGAGGCAGATGTCTTATTCACGCAACAGCAGCGGTGTCAGCTCACCGCTGCGCAGCAAATCAGCACGTCGCAGGCCTCCGCCCTCGGGGGTCTGCGCATACAGACCAGCCATATGTGCGCCGGAAGACAGACAGGCTGCACGTATTGCCGGACGGAACCCCAAATATTCCCTCAGAACGGAACTCGGCAGCAGGACCAGCCCCACCCACCTCGCTGCCAGGGTGTTACTAGGATAAACCAACTGTTGACTCACAATGGACAACAGTTGGAAGGGGGCCCGGACCCCCTCAGAGGAAGCGCTGTGCTCAGTGCAGATTAAGGATGCAGAATATATTTATACAAAAACGCCACAACAGTAGTTTACTTCCACAGAAAAGGCGTCGGTATTTCAAGCTCAGCTTTTAATACACTACTGTATGTATCTTTGCAATGCAGACATCCTTAGGTGGCACTAATTCACCATGGGAATACCGTTTACAGTCGCTCCCTGTTCCTCAGACATCAGTAGAGAGAGGAAACATGATTTCCCCACTCGTCGGCAATGCTGACACATTTGATACCTGCAAACCGCCAGCAGAGTAGACAGGACAAGGCAATGTGTCAGAATATTCTCAGGAGGATACGCCCCCCCTCCCCGTGTAGAAGCCCCCGCACGTATGCAACCTGGGCTGACAGGGCAGCACCTTGGAAGGCTATGACAACAGCACAAGGTAAGACCACAGCACTGCTTCACTCACCACGCACAAACCCATCGGTCACAATTCCCCGGCTCACAAAGCCACAAACCAGTTACCCGCAGACAATGGGAGCATTGCCTATGCAGGGTGACGAACAATTCTCAGATATGGCATTAGGTTACAAGGCTACAGCTTAAGAGCCAGAGAAAAAAAATTAAAAATCCTCAATGCTGCTGGAGAAAAAAGACCTTCATGAATTATTGCAGCACTACTAATAGTCATAAGTAGACCATTACCACCATTCAGATGCACAGAATGGTGATGGCTGACAATAGTGGGATTGTCCTGCATGTGACATAAGGGTGGGTGACAGGATCCTCTGAACCAATCCGCACACAGATCACCACGCTCCATCGCGCGCACACACACACACACACACACACACACGATTCATTCCACTTTCCCCTCATGCAACTGGCAGCCGTTCAAACATGAATTGTCGGTTAAATCAAATGGTCGCACTTCGATGTTACAGGGGCCTCTTCTATTGGGCGATTATAAAACGGAGGGGGGTGTCGCATTGAGGTGCATCGTTAGAGGGAAAGGGCGTCTGTGTGCCTGGTGATCTTCACTGGACCCGGTGCAAATGATGGTTGCAAAATGCCTCTACCACAGGAGAGAGATCCAAAGCACAGATCAAAAGAAAAGCATCCATTTGTAGGAGATGCATCCCGTTTCAGAGGAGCCCGAATGCCGAGAAGACATGGCGCAGAGTAGCGGTCACGGTCAAGCGTCTCGCAGGGCCGGCGCGCGGCTGCCAGACGACTCGCATTACACCTGTCCTGCTCCGCAGCGCCCATCAGTCAGCGCTGCACGCCGCCCTAAACGAAATCAATCACGGCGCAGCTCGGTTATGCTCGGCGGGGCCATTACCACCACAGCTCCTCCCCAAGCGACCCCGGGGCAGGTGGGAGACACGAGGCGAGCACAGCCAGGACATTCCAGCAGGCACCGGCGCAGTAAATCAGACATGCAAGGCCGTCTCCTGGCGACCTACGGTAAACACGGGTCTCGCCCTCCGCCAGAGCCGCCGGTGAAGTTCCCACATGACACGCACACACGGCGTGGACTACAGATCGCGGCACGCCTGCCAGGGCAGCCAGAAACATCTGGATGCATCATAGGTGTCCATGGAGGAAGAGCTCAAAAGCCTCCCTCTGTTCTAAGACCTTTCTGGTCCAGATAATCCACAGCGGGATTACCTCAGGGAAGGCCATCTAGCCTCCTACCATGTAGTTTTGGAAGAGATTTTTTTTTCCCCAATTAATGACCAACACAAACAGGAAAAACACAGCAGAAAGAGCAGCAATGAAACACAGCACATGGTATCGATGATGCGCCAACTGGCATCTGCCTGGTAACGGTATAAAAGGGGGGGGGGGGGGGGGGGGGAGACGGAGGCCATCAACTAATTGCATTATGTGCTACATACCAGAGGCCAATGGATTGTCGCTGGCATCACTCACATTGCTCACGCCCCATTGGCTGGTCAGCAGTCCCAGAATGTGTCAGAGACCTCTCAGCCAATGGGCAAGCCTGCCCACAGCACGCTGCACTTACGGCGGCAGAACACAAACCAAAACATCCAATGCAGCAGATCTGTCAACTCTGCAAAAGGTGGCTTCTTTCACAGGGGGGGGCACAACAACAAAAAACATAATGTAAAATGCAGAGCAATTCAGCAACAGACCAAGAGCGCCACTTATAAAATAACAAAAGCCTCTTTAGCTTTAGCATCTACATAAAGCCTCTTCTCTAGCTTTTCTGTTGAGGCCCCCAGCCTCAGTCGCATGCCATGCAGCCCTTCCCCCAATCCAACTCTGAGGCACGTTTGTCTTCCAGGACTCTATCTTGATTGAAGACAGACAAAGCAATTATCATTTTAAAATAAATACATAACAGAAAATGGAGTTCCTTCGGTGATTAATTATAACTGGTATCGTGATTGGTCCTGTGAGCATTCTTGATGAGACATGAGTCTTTCAAACAGGCTTTCCCAGGAACTCATTTCCATTTCAAAAATGAAACATCACCATGCAGACCTACGGAGCAAGGTAGGGGAATGGCGGGGAACGGTCCAGGAGCACCTCACGACTTCAGCTCAGCAGTCCCTATAAAATCCCAGCTTCTCCTTCACGTGAAACGTTCTTCCGCACTTTGAGGCTTGAATATTTATCCTATCGGTTACGAGCGAGTTCGGTTAATAACAGCCGTGCGGGCGTGCGTACCAAATGGCGCTAAGCTCTTTGTTGAACCCATTTTAATTTAGGTAGGAATCACTCAACGTGAGGCTTTTACCCCTTCTGTCAACAGTGCAGGGCCAGTCGAGGACACAAGGTCTATCTGGTAGTCGAGGAGCACCGGGGTCACCTTGCAGATGTAGCGGCTGGTGACACGTTCGGGCTGGCGAGCTGTGATTGGCGGCCGCTCTGCCGCTCGGCGAGAGGAAAACAAAGGAGAAACGCGAGCTGGGCGCTGGCAGAGAGTACCGATACTCTGAGCCAAAGCTTAGCAGCTTTGTTTCAGTGAATGACTGTATAAAACAGTGTGACACACACTGTCAAGAGGCAAATAGCAGCGAAACATAACAGCCACCTAAAAACACCACGACCGTCTAAGACTTTAAAACGAGACCAGAAGATGTTGTTCTGACTGGCTGACACAAGATGTCAAAAAGTATTACGAAAATACATTATAGATTACAGTTATTCATAAATATCATTTCAGAACCCGAGGACAGAAAAAAATCCAGAGATTCAGGAAATAAGAAAAAACATTGTTTGTTATTTTTAGCAATACCTGCTAGTTTTTGTTTCATATACAGTGATTTTTTTCAGGTTCATTCTCCATTCACCCTGTAGCCATGAGTCTCTGATCAGCAGGGGGTGGACTGACCTGACAGGCAGATGTAGGTCATGTAGTCGCCCTGTCCTCCAGTGGCCAGGAAGGGGATCTTCTTCTTGTTCCTCCTCCTGACCTGCACGGCTGCCAGCATCTTCTCATCCCGCGGGGTGAAGACCTCCTTGCCGATGGCAGACTTGGCGCTCATGGTGTCTCTGGCCGCGGGGCTGGTTGGCTCTCGCTGGGACGGAGAGTAAAGAGAAACAGAGCGTTCAGATGGACCCGGTTCAGGATCCGCTTAATCAGCCCCGTGGGCACGGCTATGAGTCACATTACATTAAGATTCCCATCTGTGTTGGGCCTAAGAAGGCAAGGAGAACTTGTCTCCTACATACGTCACGCCAAACAGCTCAGATTGACACATAACCACAAGACCCAAATAAATCACAACATAGCAGCACCAACTACTTCTCGGGATAAACAGGGTTTTACTTGGGTACAAGTGCTTAGCTCATGGGAGTTTTACTTGCACATAAATGTTCTGAGGGCAGAAGGAAAAATTATTGGTTCTGAAAGATAACCAATCAGATTAGAGGAGGTGGGACCAACTAATCAGATGTCTTGGTCCCACCACATCTAGATGCTTGGATCCACCTCCTCTACAATCATTTTCCCTTCTGCCCTCAGAACATTTATGTGCAAGTAAAATTCCCATGAGCAACTGGTTACTTCCAATATCCCAAAACAGTGCCTCAGAACTTAACTAGGTGCTTCTTTAAGCCTTTAAAAATTTTATAACTGTCAGAAGTCAGAGCTCAGAAGGACAGACAGGACAGTAACCGCCATAAAGCTGCAGACTTGCTACTGTGGAATCTGTATTCAAGTCCTGCCAATTCAAGCCAGTCACTCAAGAGCCTATCAACATACCCTCTGCAGCTCCCCGTACAGTCATCCTTTTACCCAAAGCAGGTAGCACTGAAGAATAAATACTTTCAGGAGACACAAGCTAGGCCTTCCTACACACTACTCTCCAGAAACCCACAGCCCCATGGTACCTTTGATCAGAAACCTCCATCCTTCCAAAATCTTATATCTGATGGAGCAGAGAAACTTAAATTTAGAACAGAAAACTGATTACCTAACAAAATCCAACCAAAAAATAACTACAATAACAGTTGAAGCTGTAACGCAGAAGAATGTAGGATTAGCTCTAATTACAGGCTTGTATGCTCATTTTGGACCTTCATGAGTCTCAACGGATCACAACGCTCTGGGACTTCAGCATTTGACCCGAGCGCTGGTGAACCGTGCACATTCCAGACCCCTAATCAAACCAGGAAGACAGGCCCTACGCCTTTGAAGGAACCCAACCGCTGTCGAGACATCTAAGGGTCTCTGCAGTCCCTCCACGCTGCCCCACCTCCTGCAAGCTATGCTAAACTCCCCATCGGCCTGCTGGGCTTTGGCATCCATCTGCGCCCGGGGGCTTGGAGACGCCTTACATTCCTGGAGCCCCCAGCCCGGGCCACACGCTGGCTGCTCCTGCCGAAAGCCCCCCGAGACATTAGGGCCTGCTCTAGTGAGCACCACACTCTGCAAACAGAGCTCCAAGCTCACCATATACAGAACCAGAGTCTGTGTCTTGCCTTTTGGGGCGGTGTGTCAACAATGATCACTGATCACCAAGAATTCTAATTCTCCTCCCCCCATTAATGCCTAATGTGCAGTAATTATGTTTGGCTTCAATTTTGACTAAGGTGTGTCAAAGACCTGCCTTCATCATTATTCAGCTCCAGCCGCCCATATCAAATATCATCATTATTATTATTATTATTATTATTATTATTATTAATGCAGCCTTCAGCTATTGGACTGTTTAATTGCTTGTTGGTTTGGGGGCAGAGAAAAGTACTTGGGGGCTACACAAATATCTGCAGGTTAAATGCAGACAGCGGAGTGCAAGCCTCACTTCTTTGGTCATTTGCTTTCTCCACCTTATATCTTCTAAGAAACAGAGGGCTTTTGATTGATTTTCTTCACAATATGGATGTTTTTCCTTCTCGGGGAAGCAAGAACCAGCTTTCCACAAATTACAGGATAAAAGAAAATCTTCGTAGAGTCTCTACCAGTTAAATTCATATTACTACCAGTGACGGCACACCATACCAGTCACACAGAATTGCAGAAGAGCTGATCTTACATGGTAATGCAACAAGAGATACACCTTAACAGCAATTGAGCTGGGGTGGGTCTAAAATACAGGCTTCTCCCCCGCATTTCATCCTACTGGAGGCAGTGGGACATAATGGGCCAGGGCCTCAATCATAAAGCCATTAAGGACACATGGTTCTCTTGGCAAGAAACACCATGTCCTCCAGGAAGATGGTCCATGAGTCATTCATCACAGGCCAGGACCATCAGCAGAACTGGCCAGTCCACGACCGCTCTGCTGAATGGCCTGAGATTGTCTGACTGAACGAACAAACACCACCATCTTAAAAAGGCATCAATGTTCCTTCATGAAGGACACCTCCCACCTGGTGCTATTCAGGACACATGAGCAAGGCAAACCAAGGACAAAAATACACTCATTCCCAGGTTCAGATGACATGCTTCCACAAAAGCTAGTAGCTTCAGCTATTATGGTCAATTTCGGCCCAAGTGAACTTGATATCAGACAGACAAACCGTAGCTTCTAAAAGGAGCACTTACGTTCGGAAGAGCTGTTTACCAAAGTGGCGTACAACATAAAGTTACCCGACTAATCAGCAACACACCTTTCCCCAAAGGGGGCTTTCACCGAGTGTAATAACACTATCTACCACCAGGAAGACACCTCCTCCCGTTAAACCATGCAGCTGCTGTTATGAATGACTCTGAGAAAACATCTACAAAGGGTAGTTTAGCAAAAATCAAGGTAGAGTGAAGCTAAAGAAGGATTTCATGTCATTAAAGTTCACGGCGTGAAAGAACATAATTTACAGTCTATAAGAAAACATAAAAGCTGTGAAATATCGACTGCCGTACTCCATTCTCCATTACACAGCGTCACAGGGGAGCCAATACCTCATAGCCACAGAAGCTTGTGGGTTTTAAGCCCATATATACAACCATGTCAAACTGGAAGCTCCAGTGGGCCATTTCAGCCTCAAGTAACAACCCCCCGGCTCTAATGAGAAACGCAAAGAATTCTAACAGCCCCCCACCCAAACAAAAAAAAATACCAGGCTTTATCCAAATTATTTTACCCCCCAGCTCTCAGCCTGGCCCTTGTTCCAGACACAAACATGTCAACATATTTGCCAAACATGTAGACCGTGTTCCAGTTTAATTCTTAGAATAATCTCATTATCAACAGGAACACAAACCTGGAAAGGGTATCAGACCCAAACAGGCTCACAAACTCTACTGACAAATATTAAACCATTCCAGCCCCAGGGGACTGAATGCAAATAAAACTACCCTTACAGTTTACTTCATTACCTCTTAAACATGCTAGACCATAATACCCCATACGCTGGACATTACAGTTCAGTATTGGCCAAATACTGTATCTGTGCAAGGACATGAGTAGCCTGTACACTTGAGAAGAGAATAAAACATATTTCATTTTTACAGGGTCATACAGAGAGTCGGACATCTTTATAGGGCTGGGTTTCTGAAAACCATTATGCTCAACTGTATCTTAGGGTCTGTGGATATGGCTCTGTCACTGACTTACTCAGATTTATCAAAGAGACTTTTTTTAAACACGAGGCACCTGAACTTCATGCACACCTGACCGAGCCCAATGCAAACGCCATGCGATCATTTCACAATCACCACGATAGGAATCCAAGGGCACTTACCAAAAATGCAGTAAGACAGAGAAATACCAGTGCATTTCAAATGTGACTCAGAAGTATGAATTCTTGGAAAATGACAAATGTCGTCACAGCACAGCAACAAGACACTGCTGGAAAGCCAGCCAGTCACAGCCATCTACCCACACCATTAAACATGCCTATTCACACAGCTTTAGTTTCCAAATTAGACTTAAGAGCCTAAAAGTACCCTGGGGAACATCCCCTCAAACCAAAACACATTCAAAGAACAATTGGATTTTATTAACTCAACAGCACACAAAAAATGGCCAATACAAAATGCAACACTGCCCTGAAACTGGCGGACAAGTATGACGGCCTACAAGGAAGCACATGCCAGTGTCACCATCTGCACAGTGGAAATGGGAGGCCACACACACACACCCAAACATCCAGGAGCCCAGTGCACACGCCCTCCACTGCAAGTTTTCAGAGCACTAACCTTTCAGCTTATGGAGTAGCCGGAGTTAAAATGTAGGCAATGTGAAACAAGTTAAAAGGTCACAGAGACTCGCAATCAAACCTCAAGGGGGTTTATATAAAACGTGAGGTAATGCGGCGTGTGTGGGTTGCGTTAAGTCTTATAAAACTGGCAACTTCTGATGTATATACTACTCTTTGAGACTTTTGGGGTGTTGCTATACCTACCAGCCGTTGTCAGAAATCCCTTTAAGCATTATACACACCCGCACAACTTAAGCGTGTACATGTGAAGTGTACTATTTCACGGAGCATTCGCTTATGCAGTTACGTCATCGGTTTTCAAAATATGCCAATAACAGGTGGGCGTAATATGCAGTTTATCATTACCCCTATTATTAATTCTCGTATCATTTGTTCCGTAGAAACATGACTCACCTACTACGATCGGTATTATACAGTAGATTATTATGAAAACGACCATTTGCGCTGCTATTAAAAGCCAAAATTAAGCGTTATGCCCGCCAAAGCCACAGCATTAAACCAAAATTAAGGGACATAGACGGAGTGGCAAGATTGTTCGTGTAAGTAAAGCAGCACATGTCGACGGACCGTCTCCACGATGACTACATTTATAAACTTGCCAACCTAAAGACTGCAACATTTTCCTACTCTCTACATGCAAACACTGTGCAGTGCGTACAGAAGCTGGCGTGTGCAAGTCTTAGAATGAGTGCAGTGGAAAAACTAGTTTCACCGTACAGTCTTCCCTACCGTAAGCCGAACCAGGAGCACTCAATCAACAGGAAACAAAAATGAAAGACGTGTGAAAGAATAATTACTTTGAACTGACTGTCAGATACTCCAATGCTGAATCGTGGGACCTTGGGGTGTTACTGTGTTGATATGGTCGGACAGTCTGCGCAGACCATGTAGCAGTCTGCACAACGGCAAACATTACATTTAATCGCAATTGAACGCGAATAACCAAGTTAAAAAGCACGATTAACTATTAATTATTCCGGGCATGATTAATTCCGCGGGTAAAACGAACGGAGGATCTGTGGGGCTAAAAATAAGGCGATCGTGGTGCGGATGGCAATCCATGTTGACATCTTTGCCAGGCTCAATAAGCCTCCAGCTGAAAAACATTTTCAGCTTACTGTCCGAAGGTTGGCGCAGACCTGCCGGGCAATTATTTCCCCGCAACCAAAATCTGCACAGGTACCTTACGGGAACACGTCCGATCGGAGCATCAGAGCGTTAACAACTTGCATAGAAGTGTGGAGGCGTTAAAGGACGCGGAGCTTACCGCTTGACACTCTCCCGACTGTACTGGTGCACTTCCACGTGGAAAAGGGTCTGGATCTCGACGGCTGTACTGGCTCCGTGAAGCCCACCAACGTGTGTGCGCCGAAGTGATCGTGTCATCTGCCGCGGATCATTTCGCTTTCGCATGCAAGGTGCTCCCCCCCCACCCCCACCGCTTCCGCCTGTATTTTTAACAGTAGCTCCACGCAAACTTCCCCACTCCCGTGTCGCCGGAGAGGACTCTGTACTAAAGACTAGCGGGTGACGTGCGTTAAGGGCCACTTACGCCTCTCCTTTCTCATTGGTCTCCCGTCGGTCTCCCTTTCCAGCTCACAGTCTCAATCAAACAATAGTTTGAGGATTATTGGAGTCTACTTGAGCCCTTTTTCATTGCCAGATATAAAAGGGTAATTAAAACCTACATTCGCGAAGCTGTTGATCGAAACTTAGTGTGTCAAGTTTGTTCTCTATCAAATCTTTCATTAAGTTTAAATCCGCGAGTGTTTCTCGCGACACTTTAAGTGTAATCATGCGCTTCTGAATAGCCGCAGATATGTTTTCCCGAATGTAACTGGCAAAGCCACGAAGTTACATGTGAAAATATAAGCTGTCATTTATCCGTATGCCCAGAAGTCTAAATTACTGTCATTATTTAAGTTCATTTCCCAACACCTTTTAAATGGTTTGCTACATTTTATAGATACGTAGCCTACTACGAGGTCGATACCTTAAAAACCAGAATTAAATCTGAAGTTGCGGTTCTTAATATACACCCACTGTGACGTTTTCGTCTTTGCTTTATCCTGCACACCAGATGACTGACATTTTAACTGACACATGGGTATTAGTAGATGTTCACCCCCCTGACAGCACAACAGAAATTTTAAACTGATGCAGAAAGTGTCTGTCTGGTCACATCTGCCACTGCGGCATCCAGAAGTATGAGCGTCGTTACGTACGTGAGGACACGCAGTCTAGGATGTGGTCATGACATATAGCTGGGACTAATGCGTCATACTGCAGGTAACTTCAGGATCTGCGTTTATTAATCTATATTAAATTACATACATATAATTACACCATCTCAATGCAATCAATCATAAGAGTATCTGAAAATCGCATTACGACATAGATGTACTGTTATTGTCACCCGGACAGCTTAATCAATTTTTTCTTGTCCAGAAATTTGACAACATATATGTTCAGTTATTATACTTTCCGCGTGGTTATAAAATCTGCAGCTATTGAGGAATTGGCAAAAACGCTTCAGAACTTGCCAGCCTTTAAACCTGTACTCCAGGGTCCTTTTAGAACTTCAGCGAAACACTCCCTCCCTCTCTTTGTGATTTCTTCGTGAAACAAAAAGAGTTCATTTTCCTGCTGGGCGCCCCTTTGAACACTTAGACGGGATTCCTCGGGTCTCTCCGGAGCTTCCGTGATCCAGGACACGTCACTCACCTTGCGGTTTTATGTGCTGTAATACGATGGATAAGAGAGGGGAAAATCCTGACTAGTGTGACACGTCTTATTCTGTGCTCTGCGTGGGTTAAATAATATGTTTTTTTTTTAAATCACTTTGGTCAGATTTAACAACGTGGACTTTCATTCTTGTATATTTTTTAAACCTTTGTTTAGTTTGTAGATGGTGTAAATTATTGACTATAGAGATAAATCTTTGGCAAGTTCACTTCAATATCAGGCAAGTCTTTCTTGGAGCGTAACAGCCCAATGAAGTAAATGTCTTGCAAATGTTTGGGCTTCAGAAAGCAGAGAAGTGTTTCAACGTGAAACAAATGAATCTCAGTAAGAAAACAAGTCATATAGCTATACCCTTCAGTATTGACAAAACTACTTGAATAAAATCGCATGTGCATTTCATAACGATTAATCTCCGACTTTAAAAAGGCGGATTGGATTTCATCCCCAGAGTAACCCAAACCGGTCTCTCATTTGTTCCGGAGTGTAGTGATATATCTGTCATGTAAATTACTATGAACTTCACTGACCCTAAATCTGTTGTGAAGGTAGGTTTTATTGTCGCGATACATCCTTCAATCTGGCTGGCACCCCCGTGTCTAAAGTGGATTTCCAGTCCCACAACTGTGCCGTCTATCCAGCGCGATGACAGGGAGCTTTAGCTGTCAGAAGCGTTTCCGCGACTGAAGACAATTTAATTTACCTCTCATCCCGATATGCGTGGCCCAAGGACACCAATGATTAAAAAACCATTAAGACTAGACTCTAAATAATAAATGTCTGAATCAAATATGTATTGACCAATTTTACGGCTCATTTCAAATGTGCATATGAACAACCTTGAGAGAACGGGATGATTAGAACCGTGAGACTGTAGACCTGAGGATATGTAGGAAAGGCCATGAACCGGGTAATTTACATGCATTTAGTGGAAAGCAATATATGGTGCTTTTTATTCAAATTGTGAATAAAGTCTAATTTTATTAAGTATTAATAAAATATATTATTCTGTAGACATGACTGCAGAAAATACTGCATGAAACCTTAAAGACGGTTCGAATTTAACTGCTGGAAAATGAAACGACAGTTAAATATATAAACGAATGCCGATTTATGATATGAACTGGTCTGCGTATAATCAAAACAGTACGTATTGCATAAGTGGCATAACGAAAGGAACATCTGTTATTATTTAGGGTATGCAGTGAATTATATGCGGATTTAACGTCATGAAAAGTTTCTTAGGAATTATTTACATGGCTGAATTTTATGCGTTGTCACAGTCTACCATAATTGCACAACCACTTAACAGCCCACAGTCGTCAGATTTACTTGGATAGTTTAAAAATGTGATTTAAAGCACAGCGGGATTAATCTTAAGGCACTTAATTTCCGGCAGACTGGAAGGGGAGCGAAGCCGTTGTTTTGTAAAAATTCCGCTGTTTTAGGACAATGGGGATTCTTGTATCCAATTTCATAATAATACTATAGTTATTACTGCAGTTATTTGCAACATAGCTAAGCTTTCTCAGACAATGCCGTTTTGTTTCTCCTCAGAACCCCCCCGACACACATACACACACACACACAACTGCAAGAAGTAGAAGTGATGGCATGAATGGAATTTTATCACCTGTTAGGCTGTACAACATTTAGCAAAGACCATCTGTGCCTTTTTGCAGACCCTGTTCAGATGTGAAGGCCTCCCATTACACACACACACACACATACATACACACAGACACACACACATACACAGACATACATACACACACACATACATACACAGACATACATACACACACACACACAGACACACACACACACATACATACAAGACCACATACACATACAGAAACAGATGTCCTCTGGCACAAACCTTTGTTATTCTGCTATCAGATAAGCTTCAGATCTTGCTAATGTAGCAGATCAATAGCAAAGTCTCCCAAAGGATCCAATTCCATTTTCAGGTTTAATTCAACTGGAGCCACAGGAGGGAGTGGAATCTCTGGATTCCATCTCATATCTCGACTGGAAACAAAGAAATAAATAAATAAAAAGAAAGAACGTGCAATGTTGCAAGAAAAAATGAGTTCACTCTTATAAACAATGTCGAGCCTGACTTACCCACAGGGAAATTACAACACCTGTTTCCTTGGGGAGGAGTCCACTCACCACCATTTTCACCCCAATTTTGAGTCTTTTTGGATTCCCTGTCAGACTCGTGGTTGAGAAACCTGGGAGTCACACACTAAGCCATCAGAAGTCCTCCCTGAAGATGCAGGACCAGCGCAAGGTCACAACGCACAAGTCAAGTGGTTCTTTACTGCTTTATGTGAACTTTATAAATATTTTTGTTCCATGTAACGTTACAGAAGAAGCCACAGGTTTTGGCATAAACTCCACTAATGACAAAAAACTGCATTTTGAGGATTTTGTTGATTATCTAACAACTAAGTACTATGTTCAATGTTTTAATTGATTGATTAACATGATTATCCCCTATTATTTCAGAATGAATATCCAATTGCTGATCTTAAATTTAAGATTAAAGTTGACCATTGATCTCGGGGAAATTCTGCAGCAAGAACATGATGCAAAGATGAACATACATATAATGCCAGACAGACAAGGTACAAAGGTGATAAACAGCAAATCTAGTGCAAACAAGATTAAAAACTACACTGTACACAAATAAAATATCCTAAAAGATAGAATTTTGTTATGCTAGAAATATATTTAAGATAAGAGTAATGAGTGATGTGCATTTAGAACAGTCAGCAGCAGACTTTTAGTGTAACGGAGGAGGATTTTATGGCTGTGGGTGGGGAGGATCACGTTGGCAGGAGTCGGGGTCGCTCTCTGCTTATCTCTTTGCTTCTGGTTTTCTGGAGTAAAATGCCCCAGAATATGGCCAAGAAACCATGGTTACTGAGGAAGGCAGCTTTTTCTTTGGGCGTGAGTGGAGGGACATGGGGAAAGGCGACATGAGGGTGACGTGAATCCCGGCGGGCGGTGGCTGGGGACTCGGACCTCTCCGTGCTGCGGTGTTTGCGAAATCATGTCCGCCATCCCACCTGTGACTCATTAATTATGCAGAAATTAATTCTCAATATATTCAATCATTCTTCGATATGAATTAATGAAGCTTACAGTCCTGATAATAAAACTGGTTCCTGGGCATATAGCTACACTAATTATTACTGAATCGCCTAGAAATTCATAATATCTGCTTAAGAATTCAGCAGAGGGCTGATCTGAGGCCAGTGCTGCCTCATTAATGAGATGGGGGGGGGGGGTTGTTTCAAGAGTCACAGGGCTCTTCAGGTCTGGCACCTGAGGGGGAGTCGCTACAGGAGAAAAAGAGAGCTGTTGTACCAGCAGTAAGTTTGGTCCAAACACAGGTTGAGGTGTAATTTATATATTTACTTGAATGGTGGTGGGGGGATCTCTACATGCGAATTAAGCCCTATAGCGATTGCAGAGTCAAAGCTTTTGCATGCAGCTCTGCATTTTACTGAAGCTGTCCAGGAGAATGACCACTGCAGGGAAACCAGTGTAAGTAACCATTCAAACCAGTCCGTGCTGTTAATCTGCATGCTTTGGCAAAGTACAGGTGATTAGACAGACAGACAGACAGACAGACAGACAGACAGACAGACAGACAGACAGACAGACAGACAGACAGATAGATAGATAGATAGATGGATGTCAGTCACAGATGCTGGATGTGATATTTGTATGTAAGTGACTCACAGCTTGAATAACCATAGTTCTGTTTTTGTCACCATTCCCTGATCTCTGTCTCTGTGTGGGATTCTGGGAGTTTGTGCTGCCTTAACAGAGCTGACATTTAAGGTGCCGGGTGGAGAGAGCGCTGAAGAGACGAGGTACCCGGGAGAAAGTGCAGCGGGAGAAATTGGGAAAGGAGACGCGGGAAATGACTCTGCTGCAGCGGCTTTAATTAACAGGCGGCGCTGGCGTCCCTCCAGGTGTAGCGGAACAATGGACGGGGGGCGTGTCCAGCCCTCCATGAAAGGACAGAGATGATCAGACAGAGGAAACAAAACTCAGCGGGATGGAAACACAGCCC